ATATATATATATATATATATATATATATATATATATATATATGACAAATATATGAGACAAATAGGTCCGAACAGTCCCAGATAACAAACACTGTTCTAGAAGAGCCAGGGTGTCACCAGATGGGATTTGGTTTCTGGCATCAATTCCACACTGTCCTTCCTGAGGTCTTCAGAAGCACTGCCACAGACCCAGCATGACAAGCCATGGCGCCGTCACCCTCACCCTCATCATCGTAACTGACTGGCCTATTTCCATTTGCCCTTCTGGTACATGAAGCCTTTCTAACCTCTGCCTGCCGCTCAGCTTTGAGGGACCTATGATGCTCTGGGAGGAATGGCGCTGTTTCTAGGGATTGGCTAGTGGTGGGCTGGGGCAGCATTCTCCGTCACCACGTATCTATTCGCTGTTCTGTTTGTCTCACCGGACTGCTGTGAGGACTACTAATAGCATCCAAACATTCTCAGTTTCTGGACGTGTTTGTGTTTATCAAGGCAATCAGGTGCTCGAGGTTCAAGCCACACAGTCTGCCCTGTTAACTCTGCCTTCGCCAGCCAGGATTTGAAACTGGCTTACCTGACAGCGTTGGGGAAGTTATGAGTCACTCACTATCGTTGCTAATGCATGCTTCATCTCACACAGTCATGACTACATACCATCATCCTCAGTGGCCCAAAGCTAGCAGCGTGCTTGCCCGCTGCTGCCAAATGACCTCATTCAGTTTAATCTGCTGCTTTGTTTTCCGGGAAGGGTTTCCACACACATTACCTCACTGGTTATGTCATAGCAGCCCTGCAAGTGAGGCTGGCTTGGTAGTGGTGCCCACACTGAACACACAAGGAGACTGAAACGGTGTGTGTGTGTGTGTGAGAGAGAGAGAGAGAGAGAGGAAGGAGTTGATAAGCATAGAGCAGAAGCTTGGACTCATTATACCGTGAAATCAGATTGAAGGGCTGGAGAGATGGTTCAGTGGTTAAGAGCACTGCCTGCTCTTCTGAAGGTCCTGAGTTCAATTCCCAGCAACCGCATGGTGGCTCACAACCAACATTAATGAGATCCGATGCCCTTTTCTGACATGCAAGCATATATGCAGGCAGAACACTGTATACATAAATAAATCAATAAATAAATATTTTTAAAAATCAGATTGAAAATAATCACCTCTTGGAAGCTTGCATAGACACTGGCAATAGAGTGTGGTTCTCTCTGTGCAGTTTGCTCTGCTGTCACCATAGCAGGTTCTGCGCCAGGACTGCTCCGGTGGCTAGCGGCTTGCCCTCTCCTCACTGCTCACCAGAAGTCCCAAGGAGCTCTTACGGGTGTGCAGGTGCTAATGAAGTGTGAGCTGGGCACGTGGAGAAGACAGTGGGACTCAGCAAAAGCAGAGCTTGACGGCCATCACTGCCCCGTATGGTGAAACTGGGTAGAGGCCATCCTTGCTTCTCCACTTTAAGAATGGGAAAACTTCAACCAGGCGGTGATGGCGCATGCCTTCAACCCCAGCACTTGGGAGACAGAGCCAGATGGCTCTCCGTAAGTTTGAGGCCAGCCTGGTCTACAGAGTGAGTTCCAGGACAGGCTCCAAAGCTACACAGAGAAACCCTGTCTCAAAAATAATGAAAAAAAAACAAAACAAAAAATAGGAAATCTTGTGCTGAGTTCAATTCCTGGAACCCACCCACATGGTGGAAGGAGAAAACTGACACCCAAAATGCTCTCTCTCTCTCTCTCTCTCTCTCTCTCTCTCTCACACACACACACACACACACACACGCACACGCACACACACACACACACAGGGGGCGCAGAGAATAGAATGGGAAAACTTAGTGTGTAACAGTGGGTTGGCTTTCTAAGTCACCCATTGTCAAAGGTCCTGCCCACAAGAATGGACCCCACCACATAGGCCTAAGTTTGGCAGTTCCCTTTCTCCACACGACACATATCACAGTTGTCAGTCTTGAATAATAGAGGTGGTCGTATGAGAGAAACTTCCCTCTGAAGGGCCCTAGAGGCCACATTCCTTTCCTATATCTGCTGATTTCTCAGCCATAAGCTCCAGGGGATTGGCAGTCTTTAGAACAACCAGGAAGACCCGGACAACCCAATGGGAAGGACTGTGTTGTGTGATGACTTTGAAATCAAGCTTAGCTCTGCCAGGAACATGTAACCTCATATTAAGAGTTGTCCTGTAAGAGGCTAGCTGCATCTTTAGGGCCCTCCAGGAGTGTCTCCATACACAGATCTCCACTAATGCGGGAGCGGGCCTGAGCTCTGGTTGGAGACCAGCAAAGCCACGAGGCCAACACAATTTATCCTAATCCTTGTGCCCGATATCCAGCAACTCCCGGGTGGTTTTTGGATAAGAATGTCAACTAATATATGGAAAAAAAAAAACTCTTCTAGAAATTGATGACGCAATGCGTAGCTTTGCTGAAAAGGTGTTTGCCTCTGAAGTCAAAGACGAGGGAGGCCGGCATGAGATCTCCCCCTTCGACATCGATGAGATCTGCCCGATTTCCCTCCATGAGATGCAAGCCCACATCTTCCACATGGAGAACCTGACCCTGTCCACGGATGGCAGGAGGTAAGAGCTTAAGGTAGTGGTGCAGCGGCTGGGGAGAAACAGCGGGTCGCGAACGCAGGTCTTCCCCCAGGAGTTACCAGAGAGCTTTCATGAAAGAGAATTATTTCCCTTTCTTTCTAGCACTCCCGAGAGCTCTTTACCACACAGTCCTCGAACCTTTCAGCCCTCCTCGATCCTGCTGGTCTCATCCTTCTGTCTTTCCCTAGGTTCTTTGCCTTTAAGGGAGGAACAGCAAATTGTCTCATTTGGGGGTCCGCTAAAGGATCTCGCCAGGGGCTTGTGTCTCTTCAAAGTAGAAACTCAAAAAAAAAAAAATTCCCATATAAGAAAACAGTATCAGTTAGGCATAGTGATCCATGCCTTTAAGCCTAGCACTAGGGAGGCAGAGGCAAACAGATCTCTGAGTTCGAAGCCAGCCTAGTCTACAGACAAAGTTCCAGGACAGCCAGGGCTACACAGAGAAACCCTGTCTCAACCACCCCCCCACACACATGAAGGTAAAAAAGAAAAGAAAGGAAGAAAGAAAGAAAGAAAGAAGAAAACAGTATTAATAAAGTTTCTAATATTGTACAAGCCTTTCTGTATACATTAAATCTCATGGAAATCCTGGAAGGCAGCTAGCTGCTTGACAAAATACCCAGGATGGATGAATATCAAGGGGAAGGGACTCAGAGTGTTCATGCCGTGGTCAGTGTCCCTGTTGCTTAAGCCAGTGGTGGAGGGACCATCTTGGAAGGGAATTCATGGCGGAGCAAGAGCAGGCATCTGCTGGCTGATCTCACCCCTCTCCACTCCACTACTTCTCAACAGTGTGCCCCCTCCCCAGTGGTGTCACAGACCCGTGAGCACGCTGTCAGCACACGTGGGAGGGACTTCAGACGGGAGCCGGAGCAGAATTGTGCTAAGTTGTGGTTCTAAGCTCTGGTACGGCACCACCAGGGAGATGGAAGCTCAGAATTGAAGGGACTTGAGTAAAATGACACAGGACACAGCTGCCATCACCTGTGTTCACTGTAATAGCTGGGTTGCCTGTCCCATTCTTGCCGGATCGTTTGGAAAGAAGGGTGTCCTGGGGAAGGCCTTCTAGTGAATTTCCTCAGGTCCCTGTTCTAAAAGAAGCCATCATATTTGCTTGGCACTTTCTTCTCCCATTATGGTGATATCTTGTTTCTGACACCCAAGTCATATTTCGATTTTGACCTTTTTGGCCTCAAAATAAACTGGCATAGTGAAAACCCATCTATTATAATGAAAGTCCCCAGGATGACTTCACTAATTCCTTTTGTTTGTTCATTGCGAACCCAGAAAAAGGCGCTTCCGGGGACGGAAGACAGTTAATTTATCCATTCCACAAAGTGAAACATCTTCTACCAAACTGTCCCACATCGAAGAGTTTATTTCTTCATCCCCGACCTACGAGAGTGTGCCTGACTTCCAGAGGGTGCAGATCACTGGTGACTACGCTTCTGGGGTGAGTCGTGCTTGAGATGCCGAGGTTTGCAGAGCTGCAGGCCATCCTCCTCCCTGTTAGGGCAGATGCTTTGGACCTCCTTTGTCACCTTCACCTGCAGTCAGCACTACTGCTGAATGTCATTGTTGTGCTTTGTGCCGCTCTATCATCCCGCACAACGCTGTAGGTGACCCAGGCTACAGTGGACAAGCTGGGCAAAAGGACCAAAGAGAGCGGCAACGTGCAGCACTTTGTTCTTGCAGACTGCGTCATAAAGCAGGACAGAGACGAGGGGATGAGGGACAAGGGCACGGCAAGATAGCTGCGGAGGTAAAGGTACTTGCCCCCGGGGCTGAAAACCAGAGTTCAAACCTCAGGCCCCAAAAGGTGGAAGGAGACACCTGACTCCCGCAATTTTCCTCTGACTTCCACATGCACACCGTGGCGCATGCCCAAAACAAACAAATGAAGGAAAATCTAATGGAGGGGTTGCTGAAGGAATGGCAGCGGAGAGCTCTTGTTGCTCTGACCGGAATCTGGGCTCAGTTTCCAGCATCCCCATGGTGGCTCATACCTGTCTGTTCAACCGTGCTTTGACCTCCATGGACACAGTTGTGGCGCACACACGTATGCGTGCAAAACATGCACGCATAATAAAAATGTTAAAAAAGAAAGGGAAATTCCAACAAGCCCATTGTCTTTAGGCCAGACAAAGTCTCTGGGTTCGTTCCAGTTGCCTACCCAGCAGATGGTGCTTGGAATGGATTCTGGTATGTCACAGGGCTACTAAACTCCAGTTACTAACACTCGGCCCCGCTGGTTGATTCATAAATCTCTGCCGCACAGACTTGCAGTATCAGCATCCTTTTGGTGAAGCTGCTATCAGGTCCTCAGTCTCTGCTCCAAATATAAATACTGGGCCCCCTTCTCATGTAACTGACCCAGGCAAAGTAAGGCCTAAGATGCTCACAAGGCTCAGGGTGCTGAAATGCAAGCTATTCTTGTTTATTTCCTTTGGTACGGTAACCAGGGTGTTGGGTAAATGGCAGGGACAGGTGCAGACATTAAAGAACCAACGTGAAATGTTTAATTAAATGGTACATACATGAGAATCACAATTTGGAAAACTCCAGACTCCCAAGGGCTTAAAAATCAGGAGACCAAGTCGGTGTTTCTGTACTTGGAGACATGAGAACAGACAGAAGGGAGAAGAAGATGCAAGGAAGAAAGGCAAGAGAGACCCCACATCAGAAACCTGGGCCTTGGGTCTTGTTGCTTCACTTAGTGGCTGGATATAGCTGCGCTGCTGAGCAGTGTTCCACGGCACTGTGCTCCGTAGCCAACAGGGGCATCCTTGAAATGCAAGCAGAGATGGGGAAGGTTGTCTCAGGGCTAAAGTCTCCAGCCTTTAGAATCAGATGAGCAATTGACTCGATGTAGTTGGCCCTTATTGAGGCCAATTGCTAAGGCCTTGAATGCTGAAGAGCTGAGGGTTGGGGACGTGAGGGTTAGTGAGAGCCTTTGCCTGTGAGGAGCAGACAGGGTGCTGGTCAGTCACAGCACTGCATGGCCGTGGAACAAGTGCCACTGGAAGCTGACCCCAGACTAAGCACTTACTTCACTCTCTGCCTAAAGTTAGCATCTACCCCCCACCCTTTCGTTTTCATTTTCAACTGAACTCACCTCAAAGATGGTGAGATCTCCCACGTGGAGTCAACAAAGTCTGTCACATCACTTGAAGCAGGACCAAGGCCTTCCTCCCTGTATCTAGGCTGAGTAAGGTATCCCTCCATAGGGAATGGGCTCCAAAAAGCCAGTTCATGCATCAGGGATAAATACTGGCTCCACGGCCAATGGCCCCACAAACTGCTCAAGCCACACAACTGTCACCACATTCAGAGACCCTGGCTAAGAATCTAAGTAATAAACTGGGCGGTGGTGGTGGTACACACCTTTAATTCCAGCACTTGGGAGGCAGAGGCTGTCAGATCTTTGTGAGTTCGAGGGCAGCTTGGCCTACAGAGTGAGTGCCAGGACAGGCTCCAAAGCTACACGGAGAAACCCGGTCTCAACAAAACAAAACAAAGCAAAGCAAAACAAAACAAAACAACAACAATAACAAAAAAGAATCTAAGCAATAGTGGAGAACGTGGCTTAACTGCCCTTCCCTGTAATCAGATTGATGACTACCTTAATTGTCATCATAGAACCTTCATTCAGTAACTGATGGAAGCAGATGCAGAGATCCACAGCTAAGCACTGGGCTGAGCCCCTGGAGTTCAGTCGTCAAGAGGGAGAAGCGATAATATCAGCAAAGGGGTCAAGACCATGATGGGGACACCACAGAAACAACTGACCCGAACTCGTGGGAGCTCACTGATTCTGCATCTGTCTTTCAAAGCAGACTAACTGGATGTGGCTGTCTGGCTGTGACTTCTTCCACCCTGCTGATTGCCAGGGTCCATTGTCCGATCTGGCTGACTGGGTGGGTGCCACCTTCCTCACCAGCTCCATATGTGTGTGTTGCACACATTCCCTAAGCTGCACACTCCGTGTAAGAGTACCTGCCGTAGAGGAGCGCCCCTCTCCTGTTAAGGGTATACAGCAGCTGCACTCGCCTGTAGGATTCCAAATGCGTTCTCAATTAGACTTTCTGCTCAGGATCTGTCACTGTGCCTCAGTCTTTGGGGTCATGTTTGTGCCATCTCCAAAGAGAAGGTCTTTGGGGCCTGGTAATACAGTAAACTGCAGGTGAGGCAGCGAATTTCCAGCTGCTCAAGCCAAGTTTTATTCTAGAAGCCTAGACAGATAAAATTTTCTTTTTTAAAAAATCGATTATACACTCTGTATACAGCATCTGCCTTAGCATATCCCTGCAGGCCAGAAGAGGGCACCAGATCTTGTTATCGATGGTTGTGAGCCACCATGTGGTTGCTGGGAATTGAACTCAAGACCTTTGGAAGAACAGTCAGTGCTCTTAACCTCTGAGCCATCTCTCAGACCGACAGATAAAATTTTCTAAGACCATCTAAAGGAAGCTGGACATAAGGACACATACCTGTAATCCTAGGACTCGGAAAGATAAGACAGGAATTTGAGACCAGCCTGGGATACGTAGAGAGACACTGTCTCAAAACATTTTTTGAAAAGATAGCCTTGTTGGCTAGGTAGTGGTAACACATGCCTTTAATCCCAGCACTCAGGAGGCAGAGACAGGTGGACTTTTGTGAGTTCAAGGCCAGCCTGGTCTACAGATCAGGTTTCAGAACAGGCTCCAAAGCTACAGAGAATCCCGCCCCCCAGAAAAGATAGGTATATTGTCTTAGACCTATTATCACCCCAGCACTTGGGTGGGAGAGGTGGGGGGATAAGGAGATTGGGGCTATCCTTAGCTACATAGTAAGTCAGAGGCCTACCTGGCTACACAAGACCTTATCTCTAATGCAAGAAGATAAGGAGTTGGAGGTCAAGCCTTGGCTATAAAGTGAGACCCTGACTCAACAATTGCTGATCCTCAAAATATAGTTTGACAGTTTGAACTTACAGTTGATTGCTTTGATTTTGTTTTGAGACAAGACCGTGATATATAGTTCTGACTGTCCTGGAATGCCTGTGTAGATCAGGCTGGCCTTGAAATTACAGTGACCCTCCAGCTTCAGTCTCCTATATACTGGGATTATAGGCTTGTGCCATCATCCCCAATTCGGAGGTTTGCACTTTCAATGTACAAATGTCACGTGAAAGAAAGAATGCATATACAATGTTAACAATGAAATCACAGGTCTTGGGTATGGCTCAGTAAGACCACTTACAGTGAAAGAAGAAAGGAACTGAGTTCAAATTCCCAGCACCCATGTAAAAAACTGGACATGGCCTCACTTGACTGTGACCCCAGTGCTGGGGGAAACAGAGGCAGTCTCTGGGTCCCACTGGCTTCCAGACTAGTTCCAGGTTCAGTGAGAGACCTTCTCTCAAGGGAAGAAGGCAGAGAGTGATGGAGAAGGATACCCTGTGTCCTTGGACATGCACACCTGCAATATATGTACACACACACACACACACAAAATCAATCAACTGTAAAATCGGGACAGTTTCAGAATAGATGCAATTAGAAATCATTATGTTATGTGAGATAAACCAGACTCAGAAAGACAGATATATCACATTTTCCTACATGCAGAACCTGATTTAAAATCGTGTGTATGACAAATCCAGAAATTGGAAAAGGGATCATGAAATGGGAGAAAAGATCTTAAGAAAAGGGGGACATAGAGGACTTGCAATAGGAAAGCGGGGGGACAGGGGAACTTGCTGGATGATAAAGGGGAGCAACTGCAGGAAGAAGGGGCATGGGAGAGGGCAGCAGGCAGAGGAAATGGATAAGAATGAAGTATATTGACACATAGGAAGACGCATGATGAACCCACTGCTTTGTATGATAAGTTAAAAACAGACAAACAAAAGCAGTGATAAAAACCAATCAGTTCTTTTAATCACTTTTTTTTAAAAAAAAAAAAATTTTGATAGTCACCACTATGTAGCAAAAAACAAAACAGGGTGCCTGGAGACTCTGTGGTAGAATTTGGCCTTGGACTTGAGTCCTAGAACCAAAAACCTCAGAAACAAATGCAAAAGTCAGAGGAAAGATTCCTACCGCAGGTAGGGTACGATGGAGAGAGAAAAGAGATAGAAAAACTCCAGGAGTCAGTCCTGGAGAGCATCCCAGGGTCCCAGTCCAGGCAGGCAGGAGAGGCTCAGCAGGGCCGTAGTGCCCGCCCAGGAAAGCCGGAACTGCGAGAGATCAGCCTGGCCACCTCCAGCTTCCCCAGGCGTAGCTCTGACACTCTCTTGGCAGGTAACAGTTGAAGACTTCGAGGTGGTTTGTAAAGGTCTCTATCGGGCGTTGTGTATACGGGAGAAATACATGCAGAAGTCATTCCAGAGGTTCCCCAAGACTCCGTCCAAGTACCTGAGGAACATCGACGGTGAAGCCTTGGTAGCAAATGAGAGCTTCTATCCAGGTAACTTGTTCTCTCGTGAACGTAAGAGCGTTTGGCTTACCTACTAAATATGAGTTTCAACAAATGTTCTTAGATTATCAGTGACCCAGCCTTAAGGTATCATCATTGCCAATGGCCCTGACCTGTGATTCATACGTCAATCACTGATTCTGTCCTTACAATACCTCTCAACCTGCTCTCTCTAGCGGGGGTTCCAAATCCCACTTAGGCCTGCGTGTTTCCTTGTTCCAGTGTTTATAAAAGTGTCCTAATTACTGGGCTACGGTTCAGTCTCACCATCTCTTGTTTCGCCCTCACATCTATCCTGGTTATTAAAACGCAGATCCAAGCATGTTATTTTCCTGATTAAAAAAACTTTCACGTCCCCCATTCCCCTGCAGAGCCAGTCAGGATCACCTGATACACCATGCCGTTCAAAGGGCACCTCAGCTCCTACCTGCTTACTTAACCACGTTTTCCTTAGTCTTTGTTATGGATGGGAGTGTTTGTTTGTGACAGGACCTCAGGTTTACCCAGGTTGGCCTCAAACCGTGCTCCATAGGGAGGATGTCCTCGACTCTAGTCCTTCTGTCCTCCGCTCTCAAGTTCTGGCTCACAGGCTTGCACATCACCCTCAGCTTTCGTTGGAGGCCTGTCCAGCTCTCTGGGTAGCACAGCACTTCCCTGAGTTGCTAGGCTGCTCTGCATCCCTGGCTGGCCTTCTCCTTGCTTACTCACTCTGAATCCACTGTCTGAAGGCAGCCTAAGCTTTCAGGGTGCAGCCCACATTCCTTCGTTCCTCACCTGCCTCTGCCTCTATGACGGGCGTCTACAGGGCTGGTGAGATGACCTAGAGGGTAAAGGAGGCCTTCTGCTGAGCCTAAAGACCTGACTGTGAGCCCCAGACCCACCAGGTGGGAAGAGAAGACCGAGTCTCGCGAGTTGTCTTCCCACGTGCTATGGCACGCATGTTCATATATTCATACATACAAATAAATGTAGAAGTAAAGAAAATTTTAAAAGAAATCGAATGTCCCGACTCTCCTAAAGAGATCTGTTTTATATAATTACAAAATTTAATAATCAGATTTCACCCATTTTGAGTATTCCTGTTGTATAATTGTATCACAATTGGTTTAATTAACTCCTATTTTTAGGCATTTAGATTTATAACTTTTTGTTTTACTTTGGGCTCATGTAGCCCAGATTGGCCTCAAACTTGTTATATAGCCAAGGATGACCTTAAACTGATCAATTTTGCCTCTACCTCCCAAATGCTAGGGTTACGGAAGTGTAATGCCAACCCCGAACAGATGCTGACCTGCACATGTGTACTGTGGCTGTGCACACTTGCACACACAAGATACACAAATAAATGTCACAAAGGATTAAAAACAAATAATGCTGTAGGAATTCCTTCAGCCAGTAACCTTTAAGTTACCAGCCCACTTGGGTGTGGCCTTTTTTTTGCTATAAATGCCAATGCAAAGCACACAGCGCCAGCTCTCTCTTCTGACTGCTGGATTCGGTTCCTGTTCCCCATTCGTGCAGAGGATTGTGATCTGTGAGTCTACCTCTAAATAAATAACCCTTTTTATACTCAATTCTGAGCTAGCGTGGGATTTCTTTTTAGCATCCTTCTTCAAAACAACACAAAATAAAACCCACAAAATCAAACCTCTTGCCAGGGATGGACACACAGCTGTAACCCCAGCATTGAGAAGGCTGGAGCAGCACAGCAAGACCCTGCCACAAAACAAAACACTTAAGACTCATAAAGGCGCTGTTTTTGTTGATGGTGGTGTTGGTCTGGTTTGGTTTGGTTTGGTTTTTCAAGACAATATTTCTCTGTGTAGCTTTGGAGCCTGTCCTGGAACTAGCTCTGTAGACCAAGCTGGCCTCGAACTCACAGAGATCCACCTGCCTCTGCCTCCCTAGTCCTGGGATTAAAGGCGTCTGCCACCATCGCCTGACAGACACTGTTTTTTAAAAGGTAACACTCTGTGCCCTATTTCAAACTGGAGTTCTATCGCTACTTTATGTGGTTATTTAATAAGTCAATAAGCTGCTCTAAAGAGAAAGCCTGTACTGACTGATTTCAGGAAATTAAGCGTATTTATCACCAGATATGATGACACCTGCGTGGAATCCCAGCACTCGGCGGTAGAAGCAAGAAATCAGGAGTGTAAGGTCATCCTTAGCTACAGAACAAGTTGAAAACCAGCTTGGGCTGTGAGAACCAGTCCCAAAAATCCAACCCCACCCCATCTCCTAAACTAACTAAACACATAGATAAACAGATAGAAATAAGAAGTAGTGATGCACATCTTTGATCCTTTGATCGGGAGGCAGAGGCAGGTGGATCTCTGTGAGTTCTAGGCCAGTCTGGTCTACATAACAAGTACCAGGCCAACCAAGGCAACGTAATGAGGCCTTGCCTCAAAAATAAATTTAAAAAATGTATTTGTAAGTAGTATATTAATTACATTACATAAATACTACTTCTAAATAACTTGAAAAAATTCTTATACTAGGTAAAATATTATCATAGTTATTTTATATTTCCCATTGAGTCATTTTGAAAAATCAGTGTGAAAATAAACTTTATAGAAAGAACATGTTAGGCTGGGCATGGTGGCACATACCTGAAGTCCCAGCACTCAGGAGGCAGAGTCAAGAGGAAAAGTCGTATAATTATAACTGATGAAGTAAGTAAGAGATGACTAGTGAGATACCGCAGTATTTCTTACTTGGATTATGTTTACATGGTCACTCGTCCCATATGCTGATATATTACCCTGTGTTTCATTGAAAAAGTCTTTACCCCTCCTCCGAAGAAGGGAGAAGACCCCTTTCGCACAGAGGACCTCCCTGCGAACCTGGGCTATCACCTCAAGATGAAGGACGGTGTGATTTACATCTACCCTGATGAAGCAGCAGCCAGCAGAGAGGAGCCTAGGCCCTACCCTTACCCAAATCTGGACGACTTCCTGGACGACATGAATTTTTTGCTTGCTCTAATTGCACAAGGGCCTGTGTAAGTGTTACTTGAGATCTAAACGTCAGCAATCGGTGTTATTGATGGATGAAGAATGCCATCCCTGTGTTAAAATACTGTGCTAAGCTCCTTTATTCCTTGTAATGGCTTTATGCGATGCATCTGTCTATTTTCTATCTATCTATCTATCTATCTATCTATCTATCTATCTATCTATCT